ATCTGGGGTTGGGGGGGGGGGAAGTGTCACGAATTTGTTTTGTAAAACATGCGTTATATGGAATAAGGGTAAACCTCGGCTTACCGGTACTTACATTTAAACGTATCTCATTTTCATCCAACCCCATTGTTCCTACTAAGGATATGTAACTTACATAATACAAGATACATTGAGATGGTGTTTGATCTGTTCATGGCATGTCCACCAGTCTGTTTGTCCCTAACGTTAAAAACAAATGTTGGATATGGAAACAATGATACTTCTTTGTTTACGTATGAATCGTGCGTCTGTGTGATATCGGTTAATGCTAAACTGTTGACGTTGCTGAATGGGCATTTTATGTCAAGATAATTAAAAACTGACCGACATTTAAATATCGCATAATTTTTATATTGATTACCCCTGAGCGGTGTTTAACAAAAAACTTATTGTACGAGATAGTAAAATCATCTTCTGCTCAAGATCATAAATGAATCACTTAGCGTTGTATTCTCTTCGAGTGAGTCGGCGTACAATTGTAGTGTAACGATGTGGACCTACGACACCAGAGCTTACAAGATATCAGTTAGAAATATTCTAGGTGAGTTATTAATAATAATCAGTCGGTAGATTTAACATTATATATATCATGAAATCACTATGTAGCTCAAGTAATATCGCAACGGATTCAGGGTTCTCTTAAAAAAAATACTTTTCTTTTCAACTTGTGACGATTAGGTTAAATAAATTTCTGCCCTGACGAAATCTATTAATCTTTTATTTTCGGGGAAGGTTGGGGGGGGGGGGGGTCCACCCCCCCCCCTTTGCGTAAAAATACTTTTTAAGGGGGGGACCCCCAAAAATTTTAACTCCAAAAAAAAAAAGGGGGGGGGGGCGAGACAATATGAGCATCAGTGAAAAGAGATGATCAGCACATTGCCAGGCAAAGGCGTATCTTAAAATGTCGACTAGTGCAACTAAAAGTACTTGATGTGGGAGTGATAGACTTGTATTTCGCTTTCGATTGACGAAGAATATGTAATTATTATTAAAGTTGATTGAATAATTAAGTAAATTCATTAAAAAAATAAATGAAAATAGCGCACTATTTAGATTGGTTTAAACACTTTCTGTTTGTCTATACAAAATTTTGAATCAGTTCAGACCCACTTTTTGCAAAGTACAGACGTTTATTTCTGGTAACAGCTGGGATTCTTTAGTTACCCTTGGTCATTGACGTAACGTCATTAGTATCAAGAATGATCTACATTCCCTTTAAGGCCCCACATAAAATACCCCTCTACCCATTAGTTGGCACCCCCGGGGCGTTGTGCTTGATACTACATGAAACAGCGCGTGAACATTTGGCTGGAAACACAATTTACAACAAAAAAAAAAAAAAAGAAAATTGGAGTTGGGGGTTGGATTGTTTTACAGCCATCATAATGACATGTCCATAGGATTGACCCCTTCTTTCATTATGTCGATTGTTTTGGCATTTTCTTAAAGCTAGTCTTTCTGTAACCGAAGTGTTTTAATGTTAAGTTTACCATTGGAGTATTTTCTTGTTAGTGGTGATGTGTAAACAGTACAGATCAAAGACCATACACAATTAAAAATACAGATTTTACAAAAGATCGGGTACATCTGATATCCAGGTATAAATAATTAAAACGACTAAAATATATAACACCTCCAAATGAGCTTTTATGAATTTATGATAATATTGTATCAGAAAGACGCCTCCTCACAGACAGAAAAGTTAGCTGTGTAACCACAAATAATTTTTTGGCGCCCATGGTGCTGAAAGGATTTGATGTCCTTGTTTTAAAATTGAACATTAAAAATACTCTATTAGAACCCCCCCCCCCCCCCCCCCCCCCCCCCCNAAATTTCTATAGCTAATATAAGGGGAAAAAACGAATTCATTGCCCCCGGCATAACACGGAATATTGTAAAATGGTTGTACTAATTCAAAAACCTTTGCAGGCGTGTTCACAAAAACTCACCAAAGTTTTATCACAGTTGGATGAATGGTATAGGAACGCGTACCGAACTTATATTTACATAAGAAACAAAATCTTATTTAGCCACCCCCCTCCCCCTCCCCCCCCCCCAAACGGAATATTATAAAAGGTTTGTAATAATTCAGAAAAAGTCGCGGGCGTGCGGACAACAACTTACCAAAGTTTATAGGAGCGTATACGGGACAAACATACAAACAGACATTCATTTATATATATCCTGGCACCCTATATATATATTTATATATTTATATCTATATATTTATATCTAAATCTATATGTATGTATAGATGTATAGTTGTTTAAAACACACAGGGAAACCAAATCACATGTATACGAATGGTCCTCAGTGCTATTTGAAGTGGCGCAATGGTAGGCTTAAAATTGACTGGGTGAACTATTTTAATGATACTAGCGCAATGTGTCATCAAAGATTGTCCAATAAAACATTCCATTTGATTCATGATCTTGGGGAATTCTTTGCATTTTGTTTGTTAATGAATGAGCTTCAATGAATCAATACATGTTTCCGTCTACAGTTCTGTTGTCCAGCGTTTGTCCGGTCCCACTGAACGCTTCTTTAAGAGATGTCTCGTCCAGTTTCGTGAAATCAAGTCCCACCTCCTGTGGACCAACTCGTTTAAGCTCGGGATGGACGGCCCCGTCCAAGTCTGCCTGTGCTTTTAGTTGTAGGAGCAGGTAAAGACATTTAAGAATATAAATAATTTAGTTTTTTTCCGTATTTCACAGACTAGAGTTATGTAGCTTATTTTGTATCATAAATGTATATACTATATTCTAGGTATGGCACAGATTGCCGAGGATTCATGTACAACAAAGTCACCAGATTGTGTACGCCATCGTCAGGTTTGAGTGGCAGCTATCCGGCTCCAAAGGTCACTGAGGGGGGCCTCTATCTGATGCGAAGTTCAGACATCTATCCTGACTTCCGGTGAGAGCGTTAAGTAATCATTCGATTTCCTTTTACCCATGAACCTATCTCCAGCGTACCGCTATGCTACCCAACACAAGAGTCAGTCCAACTCTGTGCGGCACACAACAATCCTGTAAAACGTTATGGTGTTAGCTGCTATTGAATTTTTTAACAACACTTTCAGAGACATTGATACGATTTAGTTGCAGGATTGTTACATTTTCTTATGGTGCTTAGAGTCTATGCACCGTTTCTTAAGCCTGTGGCTTCAGCTTTGAACAAAATGCTTCTGCAACTTAAGATGGATTTAACACCCAATGTAACATTTCAAGTAAAGATCTTTTAAACGCTTTGAAAAAAAAATGTGTTGTTTATTCAAATGGACACGACATTAATAAACAGCAGGGTGACAAAGGATGTGGACCGCACCGGACTCTGAGGGGGGGGGGTGGATAGGTGGGGGTGGAGACACCAAATGGGTTTTTGTGTTTTCAAATTTGACAATATTCCCTCAAGTCCGTTTCAAAGCATTACTCAGTAAATGACATGAGCAGGGTGCCACAAGATTCGTTTTCCCCCAAATGAGATTGCAACCAGAACAGAGTGTCAACAGAGAGAGAGGCCATGTTGTGGTCTGAGCAGGGCTCCATCTCAGCAGGTGGTCGCCAGAACAGGGTGCCGCCAGACAGAGCGGAACCGCCAGAGCAAGGGTGTCGTCACATCATGCTGCAACGGAAAACGGCAGGGTGTCATCACATCATGCTGCAACGGAAAACGGCAGGGTGTCATCACATCATGCTGCAACGGAAAACGGCAAGGTGTCGTCAGAGTAGATTGTCACGAGATTAGGTTGCATCAGGTCAGGTCGCAAACAGAACAGGTTGCTTCCAGAGCAAGGTGTCACCACGAGGAAGTCTGAAAATAAGAAAGCTCACCGCACTGGGTTACACCACCCCTAGTGACACCACATCTCTTAGCCCCCCTCCCCACTCCCCTTTTTATTTTCTCCTTTAGGTTCGACGGGCTTGGATGTTTGGTTAACATCATTAATGAGCAGAATAAATTACATATGAAAAAAGAAATTATTGAAAGTATCTCCAAGCAAAGGAAAATTAATTTATTTGAAACCTGCAAATTATTCTGAGAATAGCTTTGCCGTGTCTTTTTTTTTTTTGTTGGAATCAGAACTGAGTGAAGATTTTGCCTTTTAAACAAAGTTCCAGTAGCTTCTAAAAGGGACTTAGACACTCGCACTGTGTAAAAGTCAGTAAACTTTCAGTTGCATTCCACTAAATTTTGGTAACGAATGAAACAATAAATTTTAAGGTATTAGGGACATTAAACACACACATAAAAACCCCACCAACTGATTTCATTGAACACTATCGAAATCACAAGATAAAATAAACGTTTTGTTACATGTTTTTTCCCCTACGTCCAGTGAATGTCTTGAAAATTGTTCGGCGGCTCCCCTTAAAAGTGCATTCACTAATTTTGTACTGTATATTTCGATTTCATCTTACTAAGTAAATATTCTTGTTGTTTCTAGCCCCTTTTACTATTTGACTCAAGTCTTTCCATAACACTTTTTAAAAAAAAGATCGATAACTTCAACGCCTTCTTAAATCAAACCAACGTCACTCTAAATCTATTGAGCTTTTTACAGCCCCATGTGACATCTAATCGCCATCCGGGGTGATCGTACAGCCCACTTTGAGAACTACTGCAGTCGAGTACAAGAACTGCCAGAAATCTATAAACACAAAAATAAATGATGTGTGCTTAAACCAGTAGACGTCGCCGTTGTGTTGAAAACACGATCAGAAACAATTTGTAGGACTAACAATTCCTAAAATATTTCTATTGTCTTCACTTACATTTAACGGCACTAACTTTTTTTTTTTTTTTTTTTTTTTTAAATACTTTCGAAATCAAAAAAAACCCCATTTTTTTTTTTATTTTTTTTTTTTAAATAACTTCGAAATCAATAAAAACCGCATTGATTTTAGTCTATTTGTTGCAGCGTCCAGGCGATCTCAAACTTGTTATCCGCTAACGTGGCCTACAACAAAAACAAACTCAACTACACGGACGCTACATCTGCCTGCGGGTGTCTCGACACACATCTCTACATGGCGGACAGCATCGACAAATATAACCTGATCTCTTACATTGTGGACTTTTCTGATAACGTCTGGATTGGTCTAGATGACATGGCTACAGAGGGGAAATACGTGTGGTCAGGCAGTGGTCAATCTCTTGATGCGTTGTTAAAACCCCTCATCTTTGATCTCTTCCAGCCAGACAACCGGAACAATGAAGATTGTGTTTTTAAACAAGAATATTTGGGTCGTCTCAATGACGCGTGGTGTTCGTTAACCATGTCCTACCTCTGCGAGAAGACGTAGATTATAAGATTTTAGTTGCAGCTTGGAAAACTTAGCAACATTGATTCTAGCTTGTTTAAATATTAATTTAATATGTACTAACAATATATATGTGTATATATATGTATGTATGAGATCCAGAAAGGCGCCCTTGGTTACCTTGGATCCCTTTCATATACTATTCTGGCGCCCTATTTTACTCTACTTGGTTTAACACTAGTTAGAATGTGTGAAAAAGATTAGGTTTATTTTTAACTTGCTTTAACGCTAGTTAGAATGTCTGAAAAAGATTAGGTTTATCTTTAAACGAACACTCCCATTGATATACCGTGCTTTTTCAGTTTTCAACATAACTTTTCATTTTTGACAGCTTCCCCTCATGGAAAACTGTTTTTAGGGGGGGGGGGGGGGGGGGGGGGGGGTAAGGCAAAATTATTTGTAAAGTTTTTATGAAAACAAATTTTTTTTCCGAAACTAATTTTGGAATTTAAAAGAAATATTTAAAAAAAATAATTTCTGTACAATCATGATTGTAATAATGTTTCCTACCCTTTCTGTTCGATTATTGTAATTTCCACTTAAATCTGATTGAATTAAAACATTTATGTAGAAAACTGTACAACATTGCATACTTGTTTTTTTTTAAACTTCCATAAGTCTACTTCATTGCACTAATTGAAAAAAAAAAACAACAATAAATCAACTGTTAAATTTGCGCAGCGAAAAACTAACATAATTTTTACATACACTCTATTATTTAAGTCCCGTCATTTGTAGTTCGCCATTAGTTGACTACTTAGACCACCCGAAATCAGCATTAAGTTAAGGGCGTCCATTTTTGTAACCACTTTTATACTTCACCTTTTTGTACAGTATACTTGGCAAACATAACACAAACAGTCCCTAATTTTTGTACAGTATACTTGGCAAACATAACACAAACAGTCCCTAATTTTTGTACAGTATACTTGGCAAACATGACACAAACAGTACCTAATTTTTGTACAGTATACTTGGCAAACATAACACAAACAGTCCCTAAATTTTTTTTACAGATTTCCAAACAGTGGGTTTTTATGAAACTGCTGAAGATATTACGATGGAGCAGAAGACACATTAATTTACCTTGCGTTATCTTTCAGAATTTTTTTTTTTCGCTTGAAACGCTTGTTAAACTGATTATCATAGGATCATAGCACCAAAACTTCATATTTTTCAAAAGTAAATAAAATGAGCTGTAATATACCGTGTTTTATTCAATGTGATAGCAACAGTTAAGATGAGATTAATGAGATAAATGTGTTCAAAATATCGAAGAATCCCTCCAATGACTAAATATTATAATAAGAGTTATTAAAACATATCATGAACATACGATACGCCCGTATTACAAAGAACTAATCATAATACTTAGGGTAAAAAGACAGTAAAATCAAGCTAACGTCTTGTCTACGAACTGCTCTTAATTCAACCTTACGTACCTTCATGCCTGCAGATACCCAGGTACAGTGGCGTCAGTGGCGGGATGTGGGCGTGAGACACGGTGGACTATTCCAAGTTAGACAGTGCTCACTCAAGTCTGTGCCACGACAGATCGTGTGTTAGATACAAGAGCATTAATTAACACTGTGTTTGTGGAATTATATTCTTTATTCTGACGGAATTATCTATTTTCCATATTTGTCATGCACTGCTGCGTCATCTCTAAAATCTCGGTCTTTATATTTTAGAAGCTACACTTTAGAAACCTAAACTTTAGGATCTAAAATCTAAACTTTAGAAGCTAAACTTTAGAGGCTAAACTTTAGGAGCTAAACTTTAGAGGCTAAACTTTAGAACCTTAACTTTAGAAGTTAAATTTTAGAATCTTCATGTTCTCGGAATTTACGCGCCACATCATTCAAGAACAACAAAACATATTGCGTAAAAGCAAACCCTATGTTTGTTGAGGTACCATTGTTAATGTATCTTATATGGCGTAAAAGCAAACCCTATGTTTGTTGAGGTACCATTGTTAATGTATCTTATATGGCGTAAAAGCAAACCCCATGTTTGTTGAGGTACCATTGTTAATGTATCTTATATGGCGTAAAAGCAAACCCTATGTTTGTTGAGGTACCATTGTTAATGTATCGTAAGTTTTTTTTTTCCTTGTAACACATCCTACCATGTTGGACGTGAAGAACGAACCGCTGTTTCAGTGAACCCTTATAAACTGAAGGAATTTAAGTATTACATTATTAAGATACGATTCTTTATTGAACCAAATAAATGGATATGTTAAAAATTACATTGCATATTTTCATTTTCAGGACATAAATAAATACATATTTTTAACAAACACAAAATTTTACAATCACATCTCTCTAGACAGCTAACAAATCTCTAGCGTAGACATCAGCCCTCAATGAATTCCGTTAGTGACAATAATGACTTAATTAGTGATCATTCAGATTAGCAGTACCCACTCAAGCCAAAATTTCATTACGCTTAATGCGAAAAATGAAATATTCATCCTAGTTACGAGGATCTGAAGATTAATTTTTAAAATGCCCCCTTTTCAAAGGCAATGAAAATAACGGCCCTTGAAATTTCACAAGTTCCAAACATTGTAAAACTTAAGGATGGAAATCATCACCTCGCTCATACAGAGATAGAATTTTAATTTAATAGTAAAATCGTAATAAAAGTCAAAGTAGCAATAACATGTACTATAAATGAAATACAATTTTAAAATCAGACGAGCCAAATTTAAGTTATCGTTCATTATCCATATTATTTTGACAACACTTAAATTCAGAAAGTTTTGAAGCTGAAGTAACATATCGGAGTCACCAAAAAAAAAAAAACGCTTTATAAATACGCATCATGACAAATACTTCTCAGTTACTTAAAGACTAACCCTTAAGGCAAGAACTTGGGTGCTGTGTGGTCGAGTGGTCTAAACGGATTCAATCACAAACTTGTGGGTCAGGAAATGCAATGCCCACCTAAGGCTAAGTAAAGAAAAATCATCACCAGCATACCGGATGGATGGGATCCGTTCCCCTTACTTTGCAACTCATCTAAGAAAGGCAAACACTGACGGAAGCTGTCTCAAAACCTAGAGATGGAATCCCGTAGGCGGATAACAACGACAACTATTGATTGATTGATTGATTGATTTTGATATTTATCATCGGAGAGAGGCGATTCGCTGTCTGGGAGACCAGCTTAAACACATAAAGAAAAAAATCAAAGGCCTTGTGATTTCTTCCTGCGAAGTCAACACCATCAACACATTGAGACGGTCGACTGTCAGAAACAAAGGGCGGGAACACGCTAATAGAAACCTATTGCCTGGAATTTAAATGATTTTTTTTCAAGCCTTAAACGAGTTTCGAATTTACATGTTTGTTTAGAGCGTAAAACGAGTTTCGAATTTAGATTTTTTTAGAGCGAGAACAAGTTTCGAAACTCGTTATCTACTATATGATTGTTTAATTATGACTCACTGAAATCTGGTTGGTTCTGATGCAGTAGGCTGTAGTTAAGGTGCTCGAATCTTTATCAAAAAAAAAAATTCCAAACCAAAATAATGAAGCGAGTGTTCCGGAAAGAAAAAAAGAAATAAACCGATGCTATCGAATACGTTATGTTTTATTCAACTTTTTAAGGTCTTTTGACAAAATAATATGTTATAGTAATTATAGGCTAAAACTGAATGAAAATTGTAATTTTCAAATTAGACCTTGTTCCATGCACCTGAGTACGTTATGGACTTGATCGCATTATGTAAGCAAGGTAAATAATACAATCACAGCAATCACTTTAACACAATAGACTCGATCTGTAATGACATGGTTTGCCAAAAATCAATCTCTCCTCTTTGGAACCACACACGTCACAGTAGACTTTTAAACGGGACTTTTAAGTATCATGTCAACAGATTTGAGTTGTTGTCTTGTGAGACCCATTTCTGTGTATGCACGTCAGAGCATGGCTTCGGGCATCGCCACGAATGAAAGTTTGTAGTATCACATAGCGTGTAAAGCAAATTTGACAAGCATTTCACACAATGTAGATGGCTTATAGGCGGAGAAAACAGAAGTGTTCTATTAACGGCCAGAAGATAAGTTTTTAATAGATCTTAAGCATGTGTTACTTCACTAGCCGCTGTTTTAATGTTGCTCTTTCGTGTGTGAGAGTGTATGTGTGTGTGTGTGTGTGGGTGGTGGGGGTAACAACGCCGAAATCATATAGGGGTTGGCTTAAAAAAAAAACAACGTAAATCATTGTAAGCTCACGTAAGTGTCATTGGATAAAACCGTAATGTCTGCTACATCCACTATATCCATCGTTTTGTCTGAAGAGCCCTCCCCCCAATTTTCTATACTCTATTTGTGACTAGGCGTAATTGGTGGAGGGCCATGTAAACAACGGTCACACCTGCACCTATTCATCGGTTACGTGACACAAATGTATTTTAAACTGGATCGATTACCTAATTACGTTTCTACAACTGTATCCATAACATTGTTAACAATTAGAATTAAGCGAAGAAATCACATATAAAAACATAACACTGTTCAAAGTGATTTTTTTTAAAAAGTATGATTTCAAGAGAATAAGAAGTGGATGACTCAATGTCATCTTCTCACCGCTCAGTAGAGACATGTTTTCTATAGTACTGTGCATCTCAGTTTTAATAAACTATTCCCTTAAAAATTGTTTAAGAAATTTTATCATGAAGATTTTTTATCTGAATTTAAATAGATGATATAAGAAAAATGTGTAAATATAAATACAAGGAAAAAAAAACAATTCAAGTTTAATATATTTTTAATATTGAAAAATAACTGCCCAAATGATTTACTTTTTATGCAGTGATGTACTGACTAATGTTCCCTCTAAGGTTTGTTGGTTCGTGTGCAAAATCATACACAGTGTGCTTGTTTTACAGCTTTTTCGTGCTCAAATTTTGACTGCCCACTCACTTACATGGAAATTTGCTGCGCGGTACTCAAAACTGCTGCGCGGTG